TATGGATTTATATTTAATCATAGAACTAGTCCATAATTCTATCAATTTCAAACTATTTAGTATACTTTATTCCTCAAAAATTAGACATATCAGTACCTAAACCAAACCTTTATAGCCTTACTGTCCATAGTAATTATTTATTTATTTATAAATAATTGATATGAAATTCTTTTGTACTACATGAAATCGCGTAGATATAGTAAAATAATTCAACTGATAAGAAGAAGGTTAACCTCTTGAGCCGAAGGATTCAATTTCAACCCCCAGTTCTTCTTAAAGCCTTTGTCCAAAGCTTTCTTCTTCCTCCTCTCTTTTCTTCTTTTCTCTTTCTTTCCTTCCCTGCTTTTGTATTTTTCTCGTTTCCTGAAGCTTCTGCTTAATCCCCTAACTCTTTTTAATATTTTAGGGCAGATGTTTATTATGGGCTTCGACCCTTTGTCTTAAATTCCTTGTCCCCTCCCCCCTTTTGATTTGTTTTGTTTTATTTTTTAGTTAGTTTCTTATTATTATTATTATTATTATTATTATTATTATTATTATTATTATTATTATTATTATTATGCTAATGACCAATACACCCTTATTAAAAATATATGGTATTTCACATAAGTCGATTGATTGACAATGGTTCTCTAATTGAGCAATCTGGGTACCCGATTACCAAGGCGCTTTGCAATTTTGGGGTCAACCTTTGAACAACACTCATAAAACCAAACTTGCATGGCGAGAGGCATACCAGCAATCCTATAGTACTTCTTGTGATAATCCATTTTCTTACTAATAGATTTAATAAGGCTGCTGAATGCAAAAGTACCCCATGGATAATTAGAGTATCTCCTACTCTCGACCAAGTCAAAATGTAGTTGTGGGATGATTGTGGTTTTCTTCTCTGATGAGAATATCCATGTGTGTATGAGATACAACAATGCTATCTTGATGGCATCCCCATCATTGCCATCACCCCATTTCTTTTCATCAAAGCATGACAACAAAGCTTCCTTTTTAACCAGCTTTGAACCACCAAAGTATGTCTGAACAATACGGTTGGGCACCTCTCTGTTGAACTTAAATTCACGTGGATCGCCAACATATTTGAGACCAATGACGAGGGAAAACTCCTTGATTGAGAAGGAAATTGTTGTACCATTTACGTATATTGAAAATACGTCATCAGTACTTCCTTCTAACTGCAAAACCATGAAGCACCTGAAGAGCTAATGTTGTACCTCACACTGATCCATATCAAGGACACTTCCGAAACAAGTAGAACTTAATAGTTTATACTGTTCTGGAGTAAGCTTTTCTTTGAGATCGGATACTATGTTTGTGTTTGTATATGAACAAATATGCGGTGATAATCTTGGCGGGTGTTTCACAAATAGTTTAATTTCCTGCATACAAACAAGAATTTAAAAAAGGTTTCATATTCATCATCAATACATAAACTCATTAAGTGTTATGAAAACATATAAATACAACAAGATACAGTTAAATATTGAAATATATATTAATACTATTTAGTACAAAACAATGAATATCTACATACAACATGCAAGGAAACTGTAATAAAGTACGAAAATACAGTGAATGTAAATTTGAATACATCTAAATACATTTAAATACAACATATAATATTCAAGTAAGTATAACTCAGTTAATGACATTGTAAATGTGCAAATGAGTTTTAGATTGTTTTAATACTTATGAATACATCATCATACATATAAAATCACATGAATAATTATGAATATATCAATGTACCCCTAAAGCACATCAACAACTTTGAATGCATATTGATACAATAACAATTACCTTTTCGTGCCATGTGTTCGAGGTTTTTTTTGCATCAACTTCCTTAACCTTGACACATGCAGAATCATGCATAGGTTTTTTCCTCTTTTTCGCAACTGGACTTTTTGTTTCTTTTGAAGATTTCTCAACTTGGACTTCTTTCGATTTGTCATTGTGTAATTTAGTTCTTCTCTCTGAAGTTGTAGTTGCTGATACACATGCAAATTTCGACTCCGTTTGAGTTATTTGCAACGAGAAAGAGGGCCCATCAAATTGAGAATTTTGGTGGGTATACCTCTGGTTACCATCTCGTGTGACGTTGAATCCGACATTGGAGAGAAAAACGAAAGCTTTCTGATGAGTAAACAATAACAATGGTTATTGTTTAAGAAGCAAACAAAAATCTGTATCAAAATCGAAGAAACTAAATAATTGTATCAAAATCTAAGAAGCTAAATACTTACCCCAAGAACTTGTATCAGGAATAAAACCATGATTTTAGAGAGAAACTAACTGGAGAGTGATAATGGGTGAGACCTAGCGAATTTGGGTGGGAGAAGAAGTCTGAATCGTGGGTTTGTGGGAGAAAAGAGTAAAGTGTATACAAAAAGAGAGAGAGAGAACGTGGTTTGTGAAATTTACCGTGATTATGTGAGAGAAAATTTGAAAAGGGAGAGAGAGAAATATTATTTAGCGTATATGGTGCCTTAAGTGTAGGATATAACTATAATTAGATATTTTGCTATAAAGGGTAAAAGGTAGCTATATAATATAATTTTTTAAAATAGTATTTATTTAAAATAAATAGGGTACTAAGATTTTTTATAGGGTGTAAAATTTCCAATATTTTTCTATCCAATAGTTGTTTAAAAGAAACAAAAAAAAAGGTAGAAGAATCAAAACAATCGTTCATCTAACCGCTTAAACTAAAAATAACAATGAACATATATTTTATATAAAAAATTTATATATAATATGTGTATAACCATTACAATCAATGCATAGTCTATGTACACAACCTACGAAAAGTAAGCTGTAAATTTGACATGTTGTTTGGACTAGGAATTTGGTTATACCCCAGTTTTCGATCCAATCCGTTGTCCTCGACAATTTTGGCAAAAAAAGCACGGGCTAGCCAGTTTTCGAACTGGTAATTAAAAAATAGCCATCATTTGCAAAATCATTGAAAAATAGCTACTATTATGTTGAAATATGAAAAGTTCCAGCATAATATATTGGATTATGAAGCTAGCATGTAAACTTCCAACATATTATGTTGGAATTCCAGCATATGAAAGTTCCAGCATAATATGCTAGATTATGCAGCTCCTGCCTATAAACTTCTACATATTATGTTGGAACTTCAGCACATTATGCTGGAATTTCATATGTAAAAAAAAATTCGAACTCTAGCATATTATGCTGGAATTTTTCCTGATTTTAAGGATGTTTTTGTTCAAGTTTTATATTTACATGAAAATGGCTAAATTTCGTTTACTTTTGAAACTATGGCTATTTTTCAATTATCAGTTGTAAATCTTGCTATTATTTTTATTTTGTGTTCTTTCATAACAGGCCGGTGTTGATCACTATCCAACTTGGAAGGGCCACTGTACTGTAATGCATGAGGCTAATTGGATGAAACAAAGCCCATTTCATTTTTATAACATAGTAAGCCTCACACAAAGAATTTTGGGATCGTTACATAAATAGCCAATTGAATTTATTGTATATTTTCTCTAGCCGATATACATAGGATAGTGCCATTAACAAAAGATGCGACAAGAGCATCCTTTTGGGACATTGTTTATAGAAGATGCCCTTTTATCAACACTTGCTACTAGGTATGAATTAAATGGTGGATGCCAAATTGAGGATGTAAAAGATTCCTCGCAAATTTGTTTTATTTTTTATTATACACAGGGAATAAAAGGGCAACCCAATGCACTAAGCTTTTGCTATGTGTGGAGTTTGAGAAGGGCCGGGCCACAAGGGTCTGTTGTACGCAGTCTTACCCTGCATTTTTGCAAGAGGCTGTTTCTGCAGCTCGAACTCCTGACCTCCTGGTCACATGACATCAACTTTGCAAGTTACGTCAGGGCTCTTATTCACAAGAAAAATGGGAGGAAAATATAAAGCGAAAAATCGAATTACACCAACAAGGTAAAAGTTCAGATAGCCGATCAATTGAACCACCATAATATCTTGATTCCTTGCAATTTGAAATCCCTATTGGGACAAATATTAGGAACAAGTGACAAATTTAATATATTAAATAAACTTATAATTCAGCTTTATTTGTTATTGAATTAATGAATTCCTTAGGAGTATTAAAAGCTGAAGACTTTCTCAAGAAATTTGGTTAAGAAAAGTTAACAAAGGAAACTGCCTTGTTCCTACTTTTCTTTTCTTAAAAATGTTTTTTTTTATTTACTCCTTTTGTTCCTTATTTTATTGTGCATTAAAAGGAAAAGCTCATTTACATAGCCCAGCCGGTAGTAAAAATAGCACGAGTTAGCCAGTTTTTGGACTGGTAATTGAAAAATAGTCAGCGTTTGTAAAGTCATTGAAAAATAGTCATTATTTTGCTACAACACGGACAGTTCCAGTATAATATACTAGAGATTGGAGCACCTGTGTATGAATTTCTAGCATATTGTGCTGGACCAATATACTATGTTGGAATTCCAGTATATTATACTAGAAGTTCACATGTAAAAAATTCGAACCCCAGTATATAATGCTGGAATATTTTTCGGATTTTGAACAGTGTTTTCGTTCAGATTTATCTTTACACGAAAAATGGCTAAACTTTTCGATTACTTTTGAAACTGTGACTATTTTTCAATACCGCTTGTAGATCTGACTATTTTTTAATTTCACTCAGCCGACTGGGAACAAACTAAGACTAAAGAGAAAGTATTAAACAACCATCTTTGCAAAAAGATTATTTTTCAATTTGTAAATATAAGCTATATAAAATGAAAATAAAAAATTATTGAGTGTTGGATAAAGACAGAAGTAAAGCATATATTCTCAAAGAAATTGCTAGCTCTAAATGGACAAACTACAAAAGTGCTAGTTTGGAGTCATTTACTTTGCCGGATAATGCAATACTAACTTCATAATCGTATCCAATAATAAACATTTAATATTCTGAAAAGGACGACTTATATGCCAAATTATTAATAGCCGCCTAAAATAGCAGATGGATTATATAAATTGATAAGATAAATTTTTTTACACAAATTAGTGTAGTTTTATCTGCTGTAACAAGTTATTTACAATTTTTTCAAGATTATGGAGCGACATAGACAGTAAAAATTCATGTAACCGGTCCCACCTTGCTCGGAATTGAGGCATTGTTGTTGCTTACCAGTCGTTTGCTTAAATGGAGGGACAAAGACAATGAAAATTCATGTAGCCAACCTCAACTTTTCTCGGGATTGAGGCATTATTGTTGCATATCCATCCACTGGTTAAAAGGAGCGCGTAGACAGTGAAGATTCATGTAAGCCAACCTCAAGTTGCTTGGAATTGAGTCGTTGTTGTTGTTGTAAACCCATTCTTGGCCAAACAGCCTTTATGTTACATTGCTTTTGTCTCCTGCTCTATGTTTCAAATTCTAACTGTTCCTAGCTATCCAATATGGTGGGCAAAAGGTGGCCTCAAACAGTCAAATACCATCCGCCTACTGTTAAAACAACTAATGACTTTACAATAATCTTTAAGCTATGTACACAGGCCACCGAAATTAGTTGTCCTTTGAGGCTTCCACAATGTGAACTCGGAGGAATATGAACTTCTCGCATTCTCTTTTTGTAAGTTGGCATGAGAAGATTCATTCTTCTTGCTTCAAGAATATAACTTGATCACTGAAAATAGGTGTCCTTTGAGACTTCCATAGTGTGAATTCCGAGGAATATGAACTTCTCGCAATCTTCTTTTTGGTAAGTTGGTATGCTAAGATTCATTCTTCTTGCTTCAAGAATATGAATTGACCAATCCCAAGTTGTAGAGATTCCTTCTGAATATGCTACCAAGTGACAGCAACATAGCCCCACCTACACCAGCTGTCGGGTCGTCTCTATCAACCTTTTGATGATTGACCAATGGAAATTCCTTCACTTTCAAGTCACTCAATCCAATCTTTTGCCGAACAGCCTCAATGATCTTTGAATCGGCTGGATTCCCCCTTGCATCTGTTACGTAGAACATATTTAGAGCCAATTCCCCTGTGGTTGATATCTCAGCCCTTGTCACATTTAGGCCATTTTCTCGGAAAGTTCTTGTTACATTGGACAATAATCCTCGTTTGTCTCCAGTGCTTAGCTCAAGCCTCACTCCCTGAGATCAGAATTGGAGTACTATGTTAGAAGCACATCCTAAACAGAGGCGAGTCCACTACTTTTGTCTCGAAGTACTTATCATATATAAAAATGATTTAAACGTGTAGATATAAGACATCACATCCATTCTGAACTCGTTGACTCTAGACATTGGATACATTTTTAATTCTTAACACTCTTGAGAAAATGTATAATTGAATGTTCGTTTTCACAGAGTGAAAATGGAGGAGCACAATACCTCAGATGTTCTTCTTTCAATTGCAGCTCGTAGACATAGAATAACACGCTGCTTTTCAGCATCCGAACTAATTGGGGTTCCATCCGTATGCCTAGTGAAGAATTCCTGAGTCAAGATTGTGACAAAGTTGAGATAATGTACAATTCATCCAACATAAATTAGAAAAGCAAGACAGTTCGGTTAAAGGAATATATACCAAGTATGCCCTATCCGTAGCTGTATTAGCTGTGGCATGGAACACGTCATACTGCATGTCTGTTAACGTGCAAACAAGATCAAATAAAAGCTTTGTTCGATCTTTGCACTGAATATTTACCACAGAATAACCCTTTTCCAAGCAGTTCATCACCGATACTACTGGCGTGTCATTGCTAGTCCTAATCATCGGCTTTCTTTCATAATCACGGTCTGCATACATCATTTGGTGAAGTCTTCTTTCTGTATGTGTGACATCCATAGAAACTGATGTTTTAGCACTACGAATATCATTATCACCCTTAAGCACATTCCTTAGACGAGCTTTGATTCTGTCAATCTTCTGGGAATCCTCAATGGGGAACCCCGTATGGCTTTCCTTCACATAAATTAGGGAGGCAATTCGGCCATTGTGAGTCCACACTTTAGCTTCAACAACGTTGCATTGTAAATCTGATAGTACAGCAAAAACCTCAGATAGAAGGCCAATACGATCGGTACCAGTTAATTCCAGAGCTGTCAAGCCATCACAACTTTTTGAACTTGCATAATAGGTTCTTCCCAGGGACTGTTCAACAATAGCAAAGAGTTTGGATTTAGCCTAAAGACTTGTATTCAAGTATCTTCATAATCTAAGTTAACCCGATACGGCTATAAGTAAGTATTTCAGTACGAGTAATTTTACTCCCTCTGTCCCAATTTATGAAGCACTCTTTCTTTTTTAGTAAAGAAGCATGTCACTTTCCTTATTTAGAAATTTTTATCTTAAAATTTCCCTTTACTTTTAATAAATTGATTTATAGCCACACAAATATCGATGGTTTTTTTCGACCACAAGTTTCAAAAGTTTTCTTTTCTTTCTTAAACTCCATGACGAGTCAAACACCGCCATACAAAATGGGACGGCAGGAGTAGTATATTTTGAAAAATCTCCACGAATTACCCAAATATATGTCATGAGAATTTGATACAAACACAACTAAAGGATCCAAATAACATAGTTTTAACGCAATTACTGTTCAAATTACTGCTATATAAATATACCTGTTTGATGTGACTGATGACACTGTCGTCTGTTAACTTGTTACCATCCAAGTCAGTAACATGAAAAACTGCAGACCACAAAGAATTGAAACAGTAAAAACAAGTTACTGGAAATGCTGTTGAGCCTATAACTTAAGGCAATTAAGCAGCTAATGTGTGCCTAATTTATTAAAATATGCAGCCAAAAGGTTCAATGGATTGCACTCACCGTCCATAAACCATTGACCATCGCAAGAGATGTAAGCTTTCTTGATTGAAAGATTCAGATCTGTGAGAACTTGAACTGCTTCAAGAAGAATTCCATGTTTCCTCGCACTATCAATCTGTAAATATCACGACATCAAAACTGAAAAGATTAAGACTAGTTAAAATGAAATTAAGTATAATTTACAGACATTCTGACTCAAAATTAAACTCGGCCTATATAATTTGTAAAGTATAGCTGGCTAAATCCCGATAAAAGAAAGGGCATGTTAGCTTGACAATTGCATTGTATAGGTCAACTAATTCAAGGTTGAAGCATAGTTAGTTTCTTTCATTCTTTTTTTTTCCCGACAAAATGGAAAAGTTCTCGAGGGTGGATTATAGGCCCATCCCTCTACCCTTTTCCGCTGAAACACAGACTTTTGTACGCAACGGGTTTGATCCATCACCTGCGGCTAAACCACACATCATGTGCTTCTTAGTTCTTACCACTAGAGCAAAGTCCGGGGGCTTGAGGCATAGTTAATTGACTAACTAAGAAATTCAAGGACTACAACAAAGGTGGCTTACCATAATGCGGGTGGCGTTTGAACAACCAGCATTGTCGATCATGACCCTGAAGCAGAATTGACAAAGACTAATCAGAAAAGGAACACTAATTTGAAATAAATATTGCAAATTTTGAAATTTGGGTTATTAAGTACTCCCTTCATCCCAATTCATGTGATGCTATGTGTGTGCTAAAAATTTGATACCTTTTATATTTACAAAAAAAAATAACTTATAAACTTCTATTTAGCCTTAATGAGATTGGTTTATAGCAACACAAATATTGGCATGTTCTAGAAACAGGGCAACCCGATGTACAAAGCATCTCGCATTCAATACAGGATGCCGCACCCCAAGATATGTGACGTAGACAACCCACATTAATGCAAGCATTAGTAACTGTTTCTATGACTCGAACCTATGACCTATAGGTAGCATAGAGACACCTTTACAATTGCTCCAAGCTCCCATTCTAACCTGTTCTAGAAACAAGTTTCAACCCTTTTTTTTCCTTAAGCTCTGTGTCCAGTCGAATAACGTCACATAAATTGAGATGGAAGGAGACAGGAAGTTAAAATTTGACTAAAACTTGGGACAAATGTAAGAAAGTCTTACTGATAAAACTACTGAAAAAATACTTACAAAATCAACGAAATTTCCGAGAGAAACTTTCCAAAAGATACAAAAAATGAAAACTTGCATAATTTGAGCAGAAAAGCAGGGCTAAAAACAGAGCAAATTCATTACAGTGGTGAAACTGAACCAATTATTATTGGATTAAAAAACATGAATAAATTGGAGAAAATTATAGAAAAAAAAAACGAAGGGGATATAATACCTGGGAGTAGTCATACGAAAAACAAGTTTTTCATATTCATCCAAAACTGTAGGCCATTCCATATTCTTTTCTGTGTTCAATTTCATTTCATTCAACTTTTAATTTCTTCAGTACCAGAGACAAACAACAGTTTCAAAATCCCCTTTTCAGAACTGAGAAATTTCTTCCTCTCTCTATATTATATATGTATGTATATGTGTGTATATATATACAGAGAAAACGAGTTCTTGGTTTGGTGATGGTATTTCTCTCTATATTATATAATAATATACTGTCGCAACAAATCAAAGACTGGGTATTTCCTCTTCTCTTTCCTCCCACTTCTTATAACAACTACAACCACCCAGTATAATTTCAAATATACGGTGTACGCAGACCTTACCCCTATCCTGATACTTACAATAACTACAACAACCCAGTATAATTTTAAATATACTGTGTACGCAGACCTTACCCCTATCCTGAGATATCCTGAGGTAGAGAGGTTGTTTTCAAATAGAAACCCGACACCCTTCCCTCCAATAACTTCATACACTCGAACTCACAACCTGAAGTGGAGGTTGCTTACCATCAGAAACCCCTCTTGTCCCACTACTTATTTATAGGAAATATTATAGTATTTCCTTTTCCTAATTATTTACTAGACTGGGTAAATACTCCTCTCTCCACATACACCCACGTTTTAAATTGTTAAGTAATCGCGATCAAAAAAATAAAAATATATATATATAAATATATTTTTCATAAGGGTGTTCATAAAAACTCGAAAAATCAAACCAAAACAAAAACCGACCAAAAAAATCGATACTTTTTAGTTTTGGTTTTAATCATAAAATAACCGCAAAAAAATCAAATCAAACCGACCGTAGAAGTAGCTATTTAAATTTATTATTACACACACACACACACACACACACACACACATATATATATATATATATATATATATATATATATATATATATATATATATATATATTCTAAAATCTTATGGTACGTATTAGTCATTTAGTCTAGTTCTTTGCTATTATAATAATCTAATTCTCTGCCTCTACATTCAAGTTTGATTGATAGTTTTCTTGTGCTAAGTACAAGAATTTATTTCATGTTAAAAATAATCGATTTTTAATTGAGTACTTGAATTATTCATCACTATTTGATTCAATTATCATTAATATATCTTGGTAAATGATATATTTCTCAAAGAGCAATTAGTTTGATAGTGTTACGGTGAAAATATAGTCGTCGGAATATGTGTTTGGTAGTATATGTCTCATATTTAAGAAAAAACCCGACAAAAACCGAATCGCTAAAAAATCTAACTTAATTGGTTTGGTTTGGTTCCAATATTTGAAGAACCGACTTACTTGGTTTGATTTATCTTTAGTGAAAAACTGATCCAAATCGAACCATGAACACCCTTAATTTTCTAGAATCAAACTACAAACAATAGGAGAACATTTTTAGGATTCAGGTGGCGTCGTTTAAACTTTTGGCCGGATAAATTATAATCGGGATGCTGATTTTACGACATATTTGACCTAATTTGTCAAACAAATATAAAGTAAAATAGAAAAAAATCATAATTTTTACAAAAAATATAATAATAAAAAGTATTTTAAAAGATAAAGAGTGATAGTTTAGAGGGTAAAATATGTATTTAATTACTGAAAGTTTGAGAAATCTAGTTGAGTAGCCTTGTAAGTGCTATAGAAATAATTAAGTTATTCTTCTATTACAAATAAAATAAACATGATTTTAGTGTATAATTTCAGACAGCTAAGTGATTATTACTTTAATGGACGTGTCACATGCCATGACTAATCTTTGCTTGACCACCTTGACCTAATTGAAAATTGGACATGAAAAATTACATCAAATTTTCATTTTCAGCTATTCGAGTTTGTTGGAAAAATGATTAGGGAAATTGGGGGAGGTAATTAACATGTTTTTTTGCCCGGTTTTTTCTTTTCTTTTAAATTTTATTTGCTTTGACTTTTGAAATTCCCTGTAAATATTCATTTATTCCCAATTAAAATTTCGTTACAGTTCATTTATTATAATTCTTACACTATGATTAAGTCTTAATTCATTTCATTGACTAAATAACGTGGTCAGTGTGAGATTTGCATGTCCCGTGGTATATTATATTCTCTGAGTTTAAATTAGATAAACTAATAATACAAAAAATATTTATACTAATCAGGTAACCTGAAATATAATTGTATATAAATTTACTTGATAAGTATTTATTGTTAATCAATATTAAATGATATGTTACTCACTATAATATTAAATTACATTAATAATATAATACTTTTATACCATCCGTATATATAATTTTACGGTCTTTGGTTGGCGTTATTATATGGAAAAGACCGCGATTTTCTAAAAAATTAGAGATGTTACTATTACTATGTTTCTGTTTTTGACATATCGATTAAGAGGTACTTCTTATTATATTTGTATCTGTAGTGCGCACTATCACCCTGAATCTAAGCTATGGAAGCCTCGTCATATTTTTGTATGTTTTCGCTACCCGTTATCATTAAAATTGTGATATAAGAAAATTCTATGTATCAATGGCATAGGTACCTACGTGACTATACAATGAAGACTTTTGCATAATAAATACATTTACGTTACATAATCTATTGAATTTCAAGAGATACCATTAACTTGATACTCCATTTTAATAGAACAAAAATGTTGTCGAGTAAAAATTCTAAAATTCTTCTAATTACTAATTTTGATTTTAAATAATAAAAAATGACTTTTTCGAATTTCAAAAATAAATTTGCTCCCTCTGTCTAAAATTATGCATATTCTTTACAAAAAGAATTATTTTTTTTATATTTAAAAATAATTTAATTTTAAAAACTTTTTTTAATAAGATAATTTATAGTCACACAAATTTTTATGTCTTATTTTAGACTATAAATTTTAATTTTTTTATATTTATTTTTTAAACTTCATGCATAGTCAGTTATAATCACACAACCAACAGCATAGGCGGATGCAATGTGGTAGCTACGGGTTCAATTGAACCCATAACTTTCGACGCGTAGTAGAAATTTATGTGTAAAAATTCATTAAAATTGCCAAAATTAATAGATTTGAACCCATAACTTTAAAAATATAATGAGTTCAATATTAAAAATTTTAAAAGTTGAACTCATAGAATTTAATTACTGGATCCGCTTCTGACCAAGAGAGTAATTAGCATTGTTTGCTTTTCTGTTTTGATTCAAAGTTTTGGTGGGAAGTGAAGTGGCATGAAATTCCCGCCAAATCGGTCATGGTTTTGATCCACATAAAATATTTGACGTGGATATTATGCTTGGCCTACAAATGACGGAATTCCAAAAACAAAAGGGCCAAAAAGAACAAAAAATAAAAAAGAGATACATAAGAAAATATCATCCACAATCAAGATGGCTTTTTCAAGAAACCAAAGGGCAAAGGAATAAGGTACGATGTGATTTGTTAAAGATACGAGACTAGTGGATAGGAGTATTTTGATATGTGGATCCCCACCTCACACTCCATGTCATATTGACAAATTATATGATCTATACATGGCGGCGGAGTAGTAAAAACAGTCACTGATTCTTGCATTAGATATTTATATATGGTTGCGGAGCCGTAGAAGCAGTCACTAGTTCTTGCATTGTATTAGGATAGATTAATGTCTACAACATAGTGCAGCCCTTACCCAGATCCTGCGTGAATGCAGGATGCCTTGTGCACCACGCTGCTCAAAAAGGCGGAGTAGCAGAAGCAGTCACTAATTCTTACATTAATGATCTATATATGGTTGCAGAGCCGTAGAAGCAGTCACTACCTCTTTCATTAGGATAGATTGTCTGCAACACAATGCAGCCCTTATCCAGATCATGCGTGAATGCAGGATGCCTTATGCACCACGTTGCTCGAAAAGGCAGATCTAGTATTTCTAGTACATCGGTACACTACTAAAAAAATAAGGAAAAAATGTATTAAGTGAGAATTGATTCATATTCCTCTTAGTAAATAACCTCATCTTCAACCAAGTGCACCATTCAACCTTCTCGAGACATGGGTGCCAACAGTTAATATTATACAAATTTTAGAAAATATGTACATAAAATATCTAATTTTGCGGAAAGACTATGGGTTCACGTGCCCTATAATTTTGCCTATAAATCCGTCCCTGACTGCCGGTTATACATGGTAACGAGTAAGAATTTAAAGCTTATGAGTTTAGGATTCTAACTTTTTTATATTACTAAATTCTAAATTAATAAATTGTTATATTACATAAAATACTTAAGATAAATATAAAGTTTGAACTAAAGTTATTGAATTCGATCAAACCCGTACCTCGATCTCAAGCTCCGCCCCTATCTCTACATAAAAGTGTATGAAAACATGTGGATGTTAAACAATTTTAAAGTGACTTTAGAAAGCATGCATGGCAAATAGTGAAATGACTAAGCATGTGCTATGGAGAGTCCGACCTTCAAAATTACTAAAAATTTTCTCATTTTGACCATAAATAATAAGTAATCCATTTTGATATTTGAAAATATTCAACTCTATTTGGAATTTTGACAAACTATTATATAAAATTTGACAAGTATTCCAAGTAACACAAAATTTAATTTTTTTTTGTCAAGTGAGATTAGCGGCGGAGGAAGAAGCCGAGCTATGAATTCAGCCGAACCCTGTAACTTTTGCTCGATCAAATAGTGTATTATGTTAATAAATTGATTAAATATGTATACATATTAAATTTAGATAAAACGAATAGTGGCACTTATTAACATGTTTAAAGTTTGTATTTTTCTTTATTATTATTATTATTATTATTATTATTATTATTATTATTATTATTATTATTATTATTATTATTATTGTGATATGTGATAGATACGGAGCTTAGTGGATAGGAGTATTTGATATGTGGATGCCCAGCTCAGACTCCAGGTCATATTAAAAAAAATTAATGATGTGTAAATTAAAGTGTAAAAAAATATGTGGATGTTAGGGATGTTTCCTTTTTAAAGTGACTTTACAAAATATTTATGCCTAGCAAAAAGAGGAATGACTAGGCATGTGACCACAAATAATTAATGTTTTGGTACTTGAAAATTGTTTACAATATTTGAAATTCTGGTGAAAATATTACTATAATAATATTTGACAAGTACTCCAAATGAAATGAATCTTCAACATTTTTGTCCAGTTAGATTAATGTCCAAACATAATTTTTAGTGGGTGTTTGGACATAAGAATTG